CTGGTTTTTTGGTGTTGATCTTGAATGTTACAACTTTAAGTTGTTTATTATTTCTACTACTGTGTGTGTGTGTGTGTGTGTGTGTGTGTGTGTGTGTGTGTGTTATCCTTATGCTTTTCTATTTAAGATCATGTCTTCTGGTTTTTTTGTTTGTTTTTGTTCCTGTGGATTACACCCAGGACCTTATGCATGCTATGCAAGCATTTTACCACTGAGCTGGGTCCCCAGTCCCTGTTTCCTGTTAATAAAGATTTTACAGCACTGGCTGCTCTTGTAGTATATATGGGTATACTTACATACATGCAGGCAAAACACTCATACACATAAAATTAAAATAAATTAACAAATTTTAAAAAAAGAAGTGAAAGGTCATCTTCAGCTACATAACAAGTTCAAAGTCAGCCTGGGATACGTTAGAATCTATCTCAGAATTAAAATAATGAATAAATAAAATATTTTTTAAATTAAAAAAATTTGAAAGCCTGGCATAGTGGCACATGCCTTTAATCCCAGCACTTGGGAGGCAGGCCAAGATCTCTGGGAGTTCAATTCCAGCCTGGTCTACATAGTGAGTACCAGGCCAGCTGGGCTACAGGGAGACCCTGTCTCACAAAGACCAAAAAAAACCCAAACCAAAACAACACACACACACACACACACACACACACACACACACACACCCCAAAACAAAACAACCCTCCCCCCAAACAAAGCAAAGCAAAACAAACAAAACCCTTTGTATTTTGGGGATTTGTTCCACCTAGTCCTGGAATATAATCGTTTTCTCTTTTTTTTCCGGGGCAGGGATGTGTGTATAAGGGTTGTTCACAAAGCCTCCTGAGGACAACTGAGCTACACCTTCAGACCCTGGATCCTTTTTTATGATGCTAGATTTAATTTACTCGTTCTTCTACAAAATACTCGAGAGGATTTTGTGTCTGTGTTCATAATATTGGTCTCTAGCTTTTTTGTGATGTCTTTTGTTGTTCTTTCTTTTCTTTCCAGAACAGAAACCATATAAGTTCAACCTACCAAACTAGAAATGTAATTCAGTGGTAGCACGTGGCTAGCATGCATGAGGACCTGGGTTCAAGCCCCCCTTTTAATCTGTCTTCTTGCTTGCTATCCCCTGTACAAATTCACTATGTCTCAGTGTACCTAGGGGAAGGAGATGCACAGATACTTATTTTATAATATGAAGGATTCTGCCTTTCAAGCAGGCCTTTTATTCGGGCTCAGAGCCCTGCTTAGAATTTTTGGCATTTAATATAAGTGATTTGCAAAGATACCTCATCAGCATGCTGTTTGTTATCAAGCAGGATTCCTTTCATCAATAACACTCAGGCTGATCATTCTTTAAGGCACCTTTGAAGGCAGGCCAGATATGCTGATCTCATTCAGTGACCTGTTTATTCCCTTCCACAAGCCTCCTGTGCACGGATACATAATGGAAGGGGATGCCGAAGGTGGCTGCTGCGCAGGTGTTTGCTGAAGTTCCAGGCTTGCTTAGCCGATACAGCGTGTGTAGAGACAGGATGTTCTTGCTTCTTTGGGAACTTTATCATTCCACTCCTTTTGGGAGTGATTAGCTGGTACCTTGGCTCACCCTCTGCCTAAGCAAGTGTCCACAACATGTGACTGGGTGTCCTCACACAGGAAGGACCTCGCCAGGCTTCAGTGTTGGTTATGTACTTGCTGTCTGCCTGATCAGGGTGGTGTCCTCTTCCGTTGTTGTTGCTGTAATCTGTCAGTTACAACTTGTGCTGCCCATATACTTCTGGGTGTGGGATCATTCACCATCCATTGGAGTGTGGGCTACCTACCAGGATCCAAACCCTTAAAGAAAACTGATTCTTCTTCCTTTAGCCTTCATAAACCATCAACTGGCTATAGCTCCTCAGTTAGGGGTAGGGGCTCATTAACCCCTTCTGAATCCATGCCTGGAAGGTTGACTGACTTGATCTCGTGCAGGTCTTGTGCAGGCAGCCACAGCTGCTCTGAGTTCAAGAATGCAGAGGTCCTGTCATGTACAGAAGACACTGTTTCATTCCAGTCCTCTTGAACTCTGGCTCCTATAATCTCTCCACCCCCTCTTCTGAGATGGTCCCTGAACCTTGGGATTCACCGGTCACCTTATCACCCAGATACTCATTAATCCAGAATGTACCCTTCCAGACTCTGCTCCTAGCTGTATATATTTCATATATATGTCCAGTATTTCATTTTATAAAATCTGGATCAAACTCTACCATCGCTTAAGACTCTCTTACTTTTGCCATATTATTAGTATTTTCACTTTTCAACAAATATTTTGCTGGATGTTGTGGCTCAAACTTGTAATTTCAATAATTTAGAAGCTGAGGCAGGAAGATTGCTTCCAGGGCAGCCTGGGCTACAGTGTGAAATCCCATTCAAAAAGAAAGAACAACAAAAAGCCCAGAAACACCAAGCTAAATGAAACCCGCAAACATCCTCGCAGCTGCTGAGGTGTCTCTCTAGTGTCTCATGAGAGAAGAGTGCTGCAATTGGACCTTCCTGATTTCCTAACACGCAGCCTATTTTTCCAGCTGAAATTATAATTGCATGGAATATGGTGTGTTGTTGCTAGTGTTTGCTTGGTTTTTTTCTTTTGAGACAGTCTTGCTAAACTGTTTAGCCCAGGTTGGCCTCAAATTTACAATTCTCCTGCCTCCTGCCTTAGCCTTGTGTGTTGAAATTATAGGTGTGCACCATCATGTCCAGCTTCTAGCCCAGATTATTAATGGTTAATGGTTTCTCTCGTCTCATGGTTAAGGGAACATGGTAAACAAGCACTGGGTCAAACGGAAGAAAAGAAAAACCATGAATATGGGGAAGGCAGAGTACTGTGTTTTTTTCTCTCTGACCTTTAGGGCTTGCAGGCCAGCTCCAAAGCAGGGTGCCTATGGTACTGAATTCTTTTACTTTTACCTGGCAGGCCTATGGAAGCCCAGGGAGCCACTCTGGGCAGCCAGTCAACAGAGAGCTGTTCTTTGGATTTACCGACAGCATGCTACAGAAGTGGTTACAACGCACTGCAGAGACCCAGCCAGGAGGCCCAAAGCGAAGCTCGGAGTTCTGTGGAGCCCCATTCTTTATTTTGCTCGTCTGATGTGGATCCAGGTAATAAGTTGAGTTTAAATCAAACTCACTTTAGGAAAACACCACCACCAAGTGGTTGGTTGTTTCTCCATCAGAAAGGAATGAGTTATTTATTACCTTATGTAGACAAACACCTTAACCCAGCAAAGCCATACAGAGGGACTTCAAAGAAGGCTCCTGGCATAACAGCGGGAGTGGTTTGGTTGGCTCCAGGCACTTTGGGGATACAAGGTGATTGTCTTAAGTCCTTCCTTCAAGGAGCTAGAAATTTGGGGTGATCTAAACATAGACATATTATGTCAACACCATGAGTCTAGACAAAGAGGATGAGAAAAGAGGGCAGGTTTGTGTTATTCCTTCTTGGGGCCCTTTCTGATCTCTATCCAAATGCATTCAGAGGCAGGAGAACACTTGGTTCAACAAGGAGTGGAGAACTGGGATTTGTTTTTTTTCAGACTGCAGAAAACAGCAATGTGGGCCTGTTATGTGTTATGGGTAGTAAAATAGAGATCTTGGTGTTCCTTTTAGGAAGTGCTCTGGACATTAAAATTTTTTATTACATTTACTGATTTGTGTGTACATGCATGTGTGTGGGTGTGTGCATGCTGTGATATACAGGTGGAAGTCGGAGGACAACTTGTATGAATCAGTTCTTTTCTGTCACCATGTGGGTCCTGTGGGTCAAACTCAGGCCTTGGGACTCAGAGGCAAGCACCCTTACCCACTGAGCCATCTTGACAGCTCCTGGACTCTGGATTTAAGTTAGAACTTTTTTTTCTGGTTTTTTTTTTGAGACAGGGTCTCCCTGTAGCCCCAGCTGTCCTTGAACTCACTATGTAGACCAGGCTGGCCTTGAACTCACAGAGATCCGCTTGCCTCTGCCTCCCAAGTGCTGGGATTAAAGGCGTGGGCCACCACAGCCCACTTAAGTTAGAACTTTTATAAAAGTTTTCCTGATTGAATTGCAAAAGCTGATAATTTAAGGCCAATGCTAATTTCCTGATGCAGTAGCAATCATCTCTAGCTGGAATGCCCATTTCTGTCCCATTAATTATCTAGTCTATAGGTCACAGACCTGGATTCAAAGTTTAAATGTGACACCTGTTGGGTTGTGTGACTCAAAGATATTGAAATCATTTCTGGGCTCCAGAATCATTTACAAAATGCCAGTCAGGATGCTTGCCTCACAGGACTAGGTTTACCTCAGAGAGCAACATGAAGTGCTTTTCACGTGTTTGCAATATTTGGGTGCTCAGACTGTTGT